GGCACGTATTTGTTACGTAATAGAATATTTGAATTTTGCTTTTATATAACAATGGAGTGATGCTGGTCAAAATAGCTGGAATTTTACTTTGTCCATTTTGTTGTCAAAGGATCATTTTTCTACAACAGAATTCGAATGATTAATTGCATAACTTATATAATATGTATATTTACATTCACAATTACCTCCGTTATTTCTAATGAAAGTCATGGTTGTTTATCAACATTCTACCACCGCTTAGCAAGCCACATGTACAGAATTCTTTAGAAATGGCTCGATCTTCCATCAATAAAACATAAAATGACTTACATATCAATAAATAAATGCAATATTTAAAGTGCTTAATCATGCTCTATGTGATGATTTATATAGACATAACAATGGAAAGCATTTCATTATTTTTTTTTTAATATTAGCATGAACTTTGCAGCTTTTCCAGAAAAAAAGTTAACATAATATAAATTGCGTAAGCGGGTTGCAGATGGAACGTTAATTCCAATACCAACAATAATGAAAGTATTTTTTGATGAAATATATACATGTGTATTTAACATTACTTATAATTATTTTTATTATCATCTCCATAATATTTATAATTTTTTTTAGAAATGGAAATTTGCTCAATGCTAATTTTCTTTTTTTAATTTTCACATTACAGTTTGTATGAGAAATGAAAGGAAGACTAAAAATAGAGAAGAACTTTAAATACAAAACAAAGAAAGAGAGAAAGAACACATAATAATTTATGTACAGATTCCTTCATGGGTTTTAAGGTGTGATTCTGAAGCAAGGATGTATTAGTTTGTATACCTAAAGTTATATGTATACTTTACAAATGAATTCCTTTCTAACATTTATTTATGTGTAAATTATCTTTATGTCATATATTAAGCAATGCGTTTTTCTTAAGATAATGTGCAATATTTTTAAAAGTGATTATGATTTCATTGAAGTATTGTTACAGGAGAAAAAAATGATCTCATGAACATGCTGAAATAGTGATGTAACTTTGCTGGAAAGGTACTGCAAGTCTCTTTCTGAAAAACGAGGACTGCAATTTGCTGAAAAGGAACTGCAATATTGCTGCAAAGGTGCTGTAATTTTGCTGAAACCTCTTAGAAATTGACTGAAACCTTGGTCATTAATTGCTGAATTATATCTGAACATTTTATAAAACGTTGCTGACACCGCTCCTTTTATTATTTTGAAAACGAACTGAGAATTGTCTGTAATGTTCGAATTTCAAACAATTTTCAGAATGTTTTTGCAAACAACAGATTCTTCCAGGGTCTAAAAATTGTCTGGAATGTTTCAATGTAGGACGAATTTAAAAATTGAAATTCTGAAGTGTTTCAGCAAATATTCAACAATATTTCCGCAAAATATTCAGGTAAGTTTAAGTTATGATTACGATACAGATTTTTATAAGGGTAGCTACCACTGAGCCTCCCAGGGTAAATGTACCCAATCTCTTTGACAAATACATGTATACATACCAGTGACCAATTCATCCTTGGCGATTTACTAATCACACTTGAATGCTTTGGCTTAGCCAAGAAATTTTGCAAAGTTGACACAAAAAGCACTATATTACAATGACCTCACAATCACTTGTCAATGTATGATGGTATAAGATATGAAAGTAACATAGTAACCCCATCAGAAATTCAGTGATATGATATGACAATAACTAACTTATATAATTAAATTTACAAAATACTATGTTCTATATCACAGTACTTTATTACAACTTAAAATTTTGATTTTAGCTTACATGTACTTAGAGCTGGGATAAATGTTTTGCTTCCTTTTCTGCTCTCTCTCCATCTCTTTCTTTCTCTCATATAGCATACAAGAGGTCCAGGGGCCACATCGCTCACCTGAGCACCTTGGCTAGAAAAAAGCAGAAATCGGTCTTGTGAAGTCCGTGTTTTATATTCTGTTCACGAAGAGCAAGAGTTTGGAACAATCAAATATGAAAATATCTTTAAAAAATAATGCTTTTCTTAATAAAAGGTGCAATTTTTTAGCTTTATATATATATATATATATATATATATATATATATATATATATATATATATATATATATATATATATATATATATATATATATATATATATATATATATAATTTGTTTAGTTTTATTTTTTCTGTTTATTTTTTCATATGTATTAAATTGAGGGGAAAAAAGAGATGTTGAAATGTGACGGTGTTTGGATAGAAAAAATGCAACTGGATCATCGTTTTTTGCAATATACAATCATGGAAGAAATATGACCTTTAAGTTAAAAGTTAAAAGGCAATATCATTCAGGTACTGAATGACAGATACGTTTCAGTGGCCTTTCAGTTATGACTCAGCAACAATTTTGGCTCATCTCAGTCGCTCTTCAGCAAACACTTTTCAGATGTGTTTCAGTTATCTTTATGTGCCGTTTCCACCGTCCGTCTGTCGCCTTTGAGAGAATTTGAATATATTTCAATTGTTATTCATGAACTATTTAATCGGCCTTTCACTGGTATTTAAGTAACCGATTCTTATCAATTTAATAAAATTATTTATCTTCATTGTCTTTCTGTTATTCTAATTAAGATAGGAACTGGTAATGGCTACATGTTCAATTATGTTCAAAATATTTACCACAATTTTTTTTATGTATTATAGACTGTGAAGTACATGTCTAAATAAAATTATACGCGGATAGGTTCAGGTTTCGTGTAAAATATCAAAGTACAAGGCACTGCTCTGACTATCATGATATGACGTCAAAATGGAATATGACGTCAAGATGAGTGCTGTTACCTTCAAGTACTATTTCAAACTACATTCAAAACTTCATTGTAAAATTTAAGTGTCTTACGTGTGAATTTAAGCCTTTGTATGTGTAATTATTGTTGAATACTGAAGGTTACTTAGTTTAACTTCTCAGATTTGAAATTAACTGTATTCATACCAATATTAAAAATATCTTTGAGAATGGTATCTTTTACAGAACCGTGGTTACAGGTAGAAATTATTTGTATGTATATAAGAGGCTGCCCCAAGCGTTAATATTTGGGGAATTCAAAAAAGGATTTGGTTGTGCTTGGGATGGAAGTAAAGTTGCTTCGCTTTGATATTAATTAAAACAATGGGTAGAAAATACACTTGAATGATTGTCTAAGTAGAAATTCTCATGAAATAATTTGTATACTTATAACACTATAGCTGGTCCCGATAACTTTTTATGTATATTAGGTAATATTAGGTAATATATTATATTAATATAAGATTATTTCTGCTACAAAATGAAAATCATTCTGGGCACATGCGCTAAAGTAATCTGTGAACAACTTGAATCGATTTTAAATGCGTCATGAGATATCGAAATAAATACATTGATATGTGGTTGAGATATCCCTTTGTGCAAATTATTAGTATGCACTTCCATAGCTTACATATTGAAATTAAAACCAAGAAATGATGTTTTGGATGCATTTAGTGTAGATGATAAAATATAAGAATTCAGTATTCCTATAAGAATTTTATTAATTGAAAAAAGTGCATTTTTTTCTTTCTGTAAAATTGCAAAAATATGTTCGAAAATCCAGAGGCTCATTCAAAACTTGAATTTTGAGATTAATTGACTAAATTAAGCAATCAGAAGGCAAATTCAACATTATATTATAGTCCCTTTGCTAATGTTTGCCTATCATGAAATCGTCGTATATATTCGTAATTAAAAGGTATTTGATCAAATAATAATGCAAGAAAACAAATATGTTTATCAAAAAAAAAGAGTAATTGTTGGGTTCTGTTAAGCAAAATATGCCTAAAATCTCACTTATCATATGAAAGATAAAAGATTAAGATGTATAAAAATAGAATATCTCTATGAAGGCTTGATAGTCGATTTCTTTGAAACCCGTACAGAAAGCGGTCGTATTTTTGTTGATGATATTTGCCATATTTGAATCATAAATCACCAAAGCCAAGAGAAAGCCCCGTAGGAATGATTTACTGAATCATACATGCTAAATAAAGATAATGATTTCTCCCTGTTCAGCCTTTTAAGAAGGAATTTAAGTTGGGATTGAAAGATAACAGTAACTTCTAATGTAGGAATAAATGGTTAGCGATATTGTAGCGATCTCAACACCCTCGGCAAATTGGATCCTCGCTAAAATTCCTGCCTATGCGGTATTTTAACTTTCGAATCTCGTATTTGGAATATTGTATTTTCAATCTTGGACGAAACTTCTTGGCTGTTGTAAATTCGTCATTTATTTTTCCAGAAGATAAATCAATCTAAAAAATCTAAATCTAAAAAAAAAATGTTAAACGAATTTTTTTTAAAAAGTCAAACTTTACCCGGGTGTCCAAAATCGATTTCTACATATTAGGAGTAATAAGGACAGATGATACAAAAAAAGAAAAAAAAAATTGTCAAAAAAAAAAAAAAAAAAAAAAAAAAATGTTGGAATTTTTTGTCAAGTCATGTTTACATAAGTCAATGAATAAATTCAATCACCTAGATTTTCATTTTTTTATTCAAATTTTCACAATAATGGGAGTTAAAGTGACAAAAAATTGTCTAATTTAATAAGGATGGTTGCAGAAAGGTTGAAAAGCAGAAAGATTGAACCTTTAACATCCTAGAAAGTTAACCATGTCTTAATATTTTAGAAATTTATTATTTGCTATATATAAAACGAAATAGGTCCAATAATATATAACAATCAAGGCATCCATTTTTTGGTTTCATCTGTAGTGTATTCATAACTCCATTGTAAGTTAACAACTGATTTATTGACCTTCTTTTACAGGAGAGCTCATTTTCAAGAACAATAACTCTTACTAAATTTAGAACATACATTACATCCTTCCCCTTATAAAATTTGATACTTTCCATTAACATTAGATTTTAGATAATTGAAGTTCATTATTAACTGTAACACAAAATAAATTTGATAAAATATCAGTTCAGTTCAACTTTCAATACTATTAACAGTAAAATTCATTCTCGGTATCGCGCAGGAAGTTTAACACAGCGGCCACTACGGGTAACATGCGCAGGGTTTTCGGCTGGTGGTTCGACATCAGATGTAGCTGTCTCTGTGACCGTATTTGGCTGCACATCTGAAGCTGTGGATATGTCATTGGTGCTCTGAGTGGTCTTAGAACACAATGTCACATCAGTATATGCAGGGACATCATCTCTGGAAACCAAGTTACTTCGGACACGAGTAGGTCTCAGGAACTTGCGGTTACGTCTGTACCACCTTCCTTTGCTCTGGATGACATATGAACGTTTCGTAGGGTGCAAGTCTTTAACGAATCCGCTTGTCCATTGTCCTGATTGGCTCTGCATCATTACTGGGTCTCCTGCCTTTAGAGGTTTAATTGGTTCCTTCTTAGCATGTCTGTTAAAGTTCTCCTCCTGTTTTTCCTGTCGACATTTCATTTTGGCCAATGTGTTGTCATCTACACATGATTTCAATAGAGGGACTGCAGTAGGTAAGATAGACTTCAGTCTTCGTCCTAGAAATAGCTGGGCTGGAGACATATCAATAACATCAATCTTGGTGTTCCGATACTCCAAAAGAGCTAAGTATGGATCTTGAGATTTCGTGATAAGACGTTTCATGGTCTGAACCATTCGCTCTGTCTGTTCATTACTCTGAGCATGGTGTCGGACTGGTTGTGGTATGTGTGATGTAATACGATTTCACAAACTCCTTGAACTCATAACTGACGAACTGTGGTCCATTATCACTAATAATGATATCTGGAACTCCGTATTTGGAAATCATGCTTTTCACATGAGTGATCACGCACTTCGAGGTGAGCGACTCCAGTTTGGCAAGTTCTGGCCACTTTGATAAATAGTCAACTACCAGTAAGTAATGGTTTCCACAAAGTTTGAACAGATCCATTCCAATCTTTGACCACGGTCTTGATGGAAGTTCACTTGGGATCATTGGTTCCTTGGGATTAGCAGCCTGATATTTGGCACAAGTTGCACGTGCGCTTACGAGGTTCTCTATGTCTTTTCCCATATCGTTCCAAAAGAGAATGTCTCTCTCTCGGTTTTTCGTCTTCACAATTCCTTGGTGTTCAATATGTAGTTTCTCCAGCATTTCATTCTGCATAGACTTTGGGACAATCAGTTTGAGTGACTTGTAGAGAATACCGTCAATGCATGAAAGTTCATCACGGAAATTCCAGTAGGCTTTAAATTCCGGTGCTAGGTCTGCTTTGTTGTTTGGCCATCCATCCAAGATTGTGTCCAAGAGTTATCATCTTGGCCAGTTTCCTTCTGGATCCTGTCCGGTACTTCCTGTGACACAGGTAAGTATGAAGCAAGATGTATTTCATTCACCTGTAGATCTGGTACAAGGTCTTCCTTAGTCTCTTTCAGATAGGAACGACTCAAATGATCAGCCAGGAACATTTTCTTTCCAGGTTTGTAAACTACTTGAATGTCATACTTTTCGAGTGCTAACACGAATCTTTGTAGTCTTGGAGGTGTAGATAGAACTGGTTTTTTGAAGATACTTTCCAAAGGCTTATGGTCCGATTCAACCAGTACACTGTGACCATATACATAATCATGGAATTTTGTACATCCATACAGAATTGCTAAAGTTTCTTTCTCAATCTGAGAATATCGTTGTTGCCTTTCTGCCAGTGCGCGCGATCCGTACGCAACTGGCCTATCTTCCTGAATCAACACTGCACCTAGTACAAATGTACTTTAGAACTGGCATCTACAGACAACATCACTGGCTTGTTTGAATCAAAGTATTGAAGGATCGGTGCACTACTAGTCATGCATTTCAATTTCTCGTAGCTTTCTTTCTGTTCACTTTCCCATTTCCATAGAGTATTTTTCTCCAGTAACTGTCCTAATGGACTGCCAACTTCTGATAGATTGGGCAGAAACTTTCCTAAGTACTGAACAAAGCCCATAAATGTTTGCAAGTCCTTCACATTATTGGGACGGTCCATTTCCTCTGCAGCACGGACTTTTTCAGGATCGGGTTTCAGACCCGAGTCAGTAAATCTGTGTCCCACGTTAGTCAGCTCTGAGCGTCTGATCTCACACTTGTCCATGCTGAGCTTTAAGTTATATTGTCTTGCTCGATCCAATAAGGCTTTCAAACGTCTGTCATGTTCAGCTTCTGTGGTTCCCCATACAATGATATCATCGATAATTGCCTCTGGTCCATCGAGATCCTGAATCATTTCAGATATGGCACGTTGAAACACTTCAGGTGCGGACTTGATTTCAAAGTGCATTCGAGTGAATCGATAACGTCCAAACGGAGAATTAAATGTGCAGAGTTTCGAACTCTTATCATCTAGTTTTGTCTGCCAAAATGCAGAGGTGGCATCTACTTTGCTGAAAATCTTGGCTCTATGCATCCTAGCTGCTACCTCTTCAACAGTTTTTAAGGGAAAATGTTCCCGAAGTATGGCACGGTTTAGGTCACGAGGATCAATGCAAATCCTGATCTTTCCATAGGGCTTCGTAACGGTTACCATGGAGTTGACCCATCTCGTCGGCTCGCGTTGTTTCACAATCACTCCTTCACGCTCCATTCTGTCGAGTTCTTTCTTGACCTTATCCCTCAAGGCTATTGGAATCTTGCGTGGAAGATGTATAACTGGCTGAATGTTTTCATCCACCTTGATTGTGTAGGTGCCTGGTAAGCATCCAAGTCCACTCAATAAGTCCTGATAATCCTGGGGAATGCCATGTGGTACAGCATGATTTTTCCTTTCAATGCTGTGTATTCGCTGTATGAGTCCTAGCTTGGAACAGGTGTCAGCTCCCAGAACAGGGTTCACAGTTTATTTAATAATGTAGAATTTCACATATGGCAGCATTGCATCCTTCCATACACAGGGTAGTATAACAGTACCAGCACAACGAATATAGTGTCCAGAGAATGACTTCAGTGGTGAAAAGGTTGGAGCAACTTTCAGGTTTTTGTCTATTTTCTTGAGATCAGCTGATGACAAAACATTACATTTTGCTCCGGTGTCAAGTTGGAAGTGAACATTAGTGTCCTTCACCTTGACTGTCTCATACCATTCTGCATCATGATTTTCACCATTCGCATGTGAGTTAAGGCTAGGTATAGGCGTTTCTATGCAAATAATCTAATAAAAACGCATAAGAGGTATATTTTTTATTCAGAGAAAGTTTTGATTTATTTTCTTATGCATACTTAGTACCCACGATATGTTACATGTACAGCCAGTGCACATTACATGTATGACGTCATATTATGTCGTCACTGATCTTGCCTACTGGAGGTAATAAAACATATCAACTAAACAGCTTCGGCGCAAGGGATTACCCTATTTATTTTTACATAAAAATTGTATAATACTAAGAAGAATATTCTATAGATTAATAAAACTGCTGCACAAATCCCAGGCATTTTCTCATTCGATCGGAATTTGAGGAAACTTATACCGGACTGTACATTTTTACCCTTATTCAACTTAAGTAGGGCTCCGCGTAAAAATCATGCAGGTAGCACAGAAAAGGCGCTACATCGATAATCTGCAAATTCATTAAAACTGAGTTTGATATATTCATTTGGGTCTAAAATGAATGATAACGAATGGATTTGTTATAATTCTTCTTTTTTCATATAGCTAGGGATAGGGTACTCCAGGGGTAATTTTGTATGGATAGTGTGTAAATAGTGCATATTTCAGAAAATAATTTCTTCTAAACCCAAGAAGATGTATAAAATCTAAACACATAATTACAGTGAAAATGGAAAGTGTAAATTAAATTTACTCTAATATTTTTGTGCAAACGAAGGATTGAAAAGATACAGGGTGTTAAAAATCTGGAATTTGTTAAGATTCTTCGTATGAGTTATCTCCCTTAGGAAATTTAGATAGGTGGCGGTAGTAAAAAAAAATGGCGGCCTCCACGGAAAGCTGTACTCTGCAAAGTTATTTTGATGCATCATGTGGTTTCATTGCAAATATCCGTGTGAATTGAGTAAAAATGATTGAAAGGAATTTACAAGAACAGATTGGACATAGAGCTCGTGTAAATTAAGAGGGAAAAAATCCGTGAAACGAGAAAGTGTAGTTTGGGAATATTACTGTCATCGTGTTGATCAGGGTATCGGCAATTTTCCTTACTACTGACATCAGTGGTTTATGTCGAAAGTTTAGCTTCTAAGGTAATCCACCAGAATCCAAGAGTAAGCCCTCAGAGAGGAGTTGCAGCCCGATTGTGTCAGCTTACTCAACTTGGAGAGGGAAGATAATGTACCGGCGCCACCGGTACATTTGGACAGCTGTTTGAACAGCTTAATAGGTAGGATTTAATTTAAATTCACTTCTTATATATGGTTATCGATTATATTTTATACAGTAAAGCATGTATTGGGAAAATTATTGGGAATGGCCAGTTCCTACATGTATCAATATCATGTCCATTTTGAAAAAAAATGACATCTTACACATATATAATTAGAATAATGTTACTGTGTCTTGAGACAGGCCCTGACCACAGGGACTTGAGGCAATCTTAGCAAAATCGGGTATACTATATACCCGATTTTGCTAAGATTGTTTTGAGTCCCTATGGCCCTGACCACAGTTAGAATGCCTTCCATATTCCCGCAATGCAGCAGAAAATGGTGGAAACACTCTGAAATGATTTTGGAGAAAATAAATGAAATTGCATTGAAAAATAACCGTCAAGTTAATAATACATGTGTATTAAACAAAGTTAACCTTTTTTTGTCACAGGGATACCTTTCACCCCCAAAAATTAATCCATATAATGTAAGAGTTCAACACTTTTTGTCAATGTTTTTTTACACGATTCAAATTTACATGCCATGTTGACAGTCAGAAATCTCCGAATTGTTCAGAGTAAATGCACTGACCAGAGTTAGAGTTATGACACGATTGCAGTGTTTTTCTTTGAAGTTTGCCATTCTGTATTAACAATACAGAACAAGACTACAGTCGGCAGAGCTGATTTCCATTCTGTATTAACCCTATACTGTCTTGTATTAGCCAACTATTCTGTATCTAAAATACAGCACGGTCTAAAAATAAATCTGATTCAATTTATCAAAAGCAAGTACAAATAGTAAATGCTGAGTTTTTTCTTATTATAAAATTTGGAGAAATATATCCCTAGCAATGTAAAATATCAAAATTTCTCAATTTTTAAAAAAAATATTCCACACAGAATCTACATGTTATTTCGATCCAAACAAAAAGGAAAATTCACAGTTATGGAAAGCATCCTATGTTTAATAAATTTCTGAAAACCTGTTTGCTTTCCCTGCTTTTTTGGGGTCCCCTTCAAAATAGTTAAGCCAATGGGTTCACGGGTGCAGCATACATTATGTGAACTTCGCACGGTCACCCCCCCCCCCCCCATTTTCTACTCCTCTCAAGCAAACTCATTCAAGTCCATTTTTAGCATTTTTTTTTTTTTATTTCATCTTAAATCCTTATCGCTGATGACTGCCACATATCTATTTCTCTTCGTTTTTAATGTCGCATTTCAATAAGAAAATAAAAATCCGTGACATCAAAGTTCATTGAAGAACTGTCTGTATCGCCTCATTCGCCTGCATGTGTATCTAGTTAAACTGAGATTTTAAGACCCCTGAAATAAATTAGGATCAGTCTCCATCTACAGCAAGGTTAAATTGTCCACCTTATCAATTAAGACTACGTCTACCCCATTGTCAAAACTAATCTGACTAAATCTAACGTTGTCCGTGGAAATATATATCTACTGCGGATCGAGGCATACTCCCCATCAAGGCCTTATCTACAGAGAGAACAAACATACTCTGGCGGAAGTTTGGATGCTGCACAGCTATAAAGTGGGCGGTGCTTTTTCTTGATTGATCATGTCACAAATCATTTAGAGAACTCGACAGGTTCTGTATTGTAGATACAAATGTGGGGGTGGAGACTAGTGCTATGCACTCGTCCACCCCCAAATTTGTATCTACGATACAGAACCCATCTCATTCTCTAAATAATACTTATTGCCCGGTTTGTTTTGCTACATAACATTGCTAATACACATTCTATCATTAAACTGGGTCTGTAGGAGAGTATCATCTTAACAATAGAACGTTTTATCATCATATAAGTATGAAACATTGTCTGTGCTCTCATCATTTATCAATACATGTCCCACACAACAACCATTATTGAACGTGGCCAAATTTAAGGGATTCAGTGGGAAGGCCTGGGCCTTCAGACTTTTATTAGATATCAGATTTTTCAGACTTTTATTAGATAACAAATTATAGAGATATTCATACTTCAAGGCTTACTAAACATAAATAAGCTTCACTTGATAAAAACAAAAATAAAAAAATGGAAAATTTTCAATATCCTGAAAAACTGAAACTTAAAAAAAACAAGCATTCTGAGAGTATTGCATTAGCAATACTAGTCCCCTACCGGCAAGTGTAATCCGGTTCCCTTTAAAAATTGAAAATGCCATAATTCCGTCAAAAAACAATGAAGCGGAATGAAATGCAAACTTGATCTATAACTACTCAAGGTAAAGTCACAAACCAAAAATCAGCTCAATATCTGAAAGCGTTAAGAAGAAAATTGCGGGAAACCCCTAAAAATTGGAAAGGCCGTAATTCCATCAAAAATCAATGAAGTTGAACGAAATGTAAACTTGATCTGTAACTCATCAAGATACACTCACATACCAAAAATCAGCTCAATATCTGCAAGCGTTTAGGAAAAAAGTGCGGAAAACCAAGTGGGACAGACTGACAGACAGACAGACGGACAGACAGACAGACAGACAGACAGACAGACAGATGGACGGACAAACTCAGAGGAAACCTATAGTCCCCTCCGTTTTCACTGGTAGGGGACTAATAATAATTAGGGATGTCAAAATTGTCAATAATTCATATTCGAATATTCGATAATAGTATTCGAATATATTCGAATATTCAATAAATTAAATAAGTCTTGCATTTTATTATATATATCTTCACTCTACTGTTAGCTAGTACACATTCTATGCCGTTATTTTAGAATAAAATGTAGAGTTTTGTAAATGTACAGTAACTAAAGTATCTTAATTCATAAAATATTTCTTAATATTTTATAGAATAAATAGACATTAAGTGTATACATCCAAAACATAATTCAAAAAATATTTTGAAAATTCAAAACATTAATTGATCGTCCTTCCAAAGACTACATTATGACTCCTATAAATTGATACCGCACATAACAATTATCTGCTGGAGAAAAATTATCTTATTTGATATATTATGTTTTAAAAATAAAAACAAACAACTAAAAAGCAATTATTTTCAGTTCATTAATTTCCTAATAATGATTTTAATGATATATACCTAAACAAGGAATCCAAGCGTTTATTGTAATTGTAAAATTGTGTCCTTACAACAATACAAACTGAATGTAAGTATGATCAAATGAATAATTCATTTTACTACATTCACTCTTCACACTTTAAAGATAATCTTCTTAAAGTATTGCCAATCATTTGATTTTGAGTAAATGACTTTTCTTTTGAAACATATGATTCTAATTAAAATGTTATCAATTGAACTTGATTAAATTTCTAGTAAAGCTTGCCAGATTTTTCTCTCTTTTAAATGCATGTATACTTAAAAAATGAATATTCGAATATCAACTCATCGAATGAATATTCGAATATTCGTTGACATCCCTAATAATAATACAAAATGGCTGAAAAAAAAGTTTGGGTCGGGTGCATTTTCAGTGGGTGGGTAGGCAACTGCAAACAAATTAATTTTTATTTTAGGCCCCAGGTATATGGTAATTCAAATTGAAAATGAACATGTAAATTTTGCTAATTAAAAGAAGTAAATGCTTTTTGTTATAGGTTTTGATTTTTTAGCTCACCTGAGCCAAAGGCTCAAGTAAGCTTTTCTGATCACACTTTTTCCATTGTCTGTTGTCGTTCCAGGTGTCAGTGTCATCTTTGTTTAAAAACTTTTCACATCTTCATCTTCTTCCAGAACTGCACGGCAATTTTCAACCATATTTGCCACAAAGTATCCTTGGATGAAGGAGATTCAATGTTGTTCAATTGAAGAGCCTTGCCCTCTTTCGAGGGGAGATAATTAAAAATTAGTTAAAATTTAATGAATCTTTCAAAAATCTTCCTCTCAAGAACCCCTGGAACAGAAAAGATGAAACTTATGTGAAAGCTTTATTACATAATGAAAGTGGGAAGTTTGTTCGGATCATGACCCTAAGGGATATGGATTGGCCGCAATAAGTAATCAACGTTTTACATACAGAAATATATATATAAAAACCTTTATCAATCTTTTTCTCATGAAAAACTGGGCCAAAAGGGTTGAAACTTTTGTGAAAAGTGGCGGTAGCATGGGGCTTTAATGGGTGGTCAAAATTTTACTTTAAAAAAATGTAGATACTAGGTAACAATCTTTAGAAATCTTCTTCTCAAGAACTAGACATGCTGGTAGTATGGGGCCACAATGGGGGATCAAAGTTTCACACTAGATAGTGATAATTCTTTTTAAGAACAGCAAAGCCATGATTAGTCATACAGATACATATATATTGAAGAATCCTCAAGTAGTGTAGATTCAAATCTGTTGAAATCATGAAACCCTGGGATAGGGTAGGACCACAATGGGGATCAAAGTTTTACATACGAATATATATTAGAAAAATCTGCTGATGAAGACATTGACTCAGGTGAGCATTGTAGCCAATTGGCCTCTTGTTTGCTCTACCCATGTCAACATGGCACTAGTCAGAAATGATAACTAAATAACAAAATCAAGTATGGACTGAAAAAAAAATCAAGCAAAATATAAAAAACCACCAAAAAGTTTGATTTATTTAATAAATATATAATTTTTCAGACAAGGCTGTTTATGCACATTTTTTAACATTACTGATTGTATAATTTGTAAAAGATACATCCCTGAAAATTCTATTAGTCTTGTAGAGATATTGCTTACATTTTACTGGCCCAACAACATTTTAAATCAAGCTAGTGTATTTTGGAAAACAGTGTACTGTGCTTTGTAATCACCAGGTTAATTTAAGGTTGTTCAATAGGTATATTTAGTTGTCTTTTAGGGCTGTCACGAGTACCCAAATAACCGAGAACCGCGGTCCAAGTTGTTCGGTTCGGTTCCGGTTCCATTTTTCCGGATTTCGGTTTGGGTCTGGTTTTTATATTAGAGTCTGTTCAATACAAAAAATGGCGACGAAATCAAAGGAATTATTACGATAACAGTGACAAATAAACATCACAACTGAAATCTACTTCATTCCATGACAAAACACTTGTCACGGAAGTATTAGATAATTATCAAAACGAGCAGGAATGGTCAGGTTGTGGCTAATAGTAGGCCAAGTCACCGATGTCTAGACGTTCGCATGGTTAAGACTTGTTTTCAATGTAAATTTAATGTAACAAATAAAGATTTTTAAAGTTAAATTCATGAAATTAAGGTTTAAAATAGATGTAAATACCCGACCCGAAAAACCCGGAACCGAACCGAAAATTTACAGAACCGACCCGACCCGAAAAATTTTGGAACCGTGACAGCCCTATTGTCTTTATACCTTTTTTTTTCTCTCTCTCTCTCTATGTATGTCATATTGCATATAAATCTAGATGAAAAATATTCCTTGTTGTTTTTCAGAATGATCAAGAACTTGTTTGACTGAAGAGATAGAATGAAAAGGGAAGACCCAAAAGTGTTTTATAACAGATACTGTGAGAGTACCGGGTATTTGATTTTGTAGTTTTTAATCAGTAGCAAGATTACAGAATTCATAACTGACATAAATGATAGAAAATATGGTAAAGATATTTTACATATTTCATAAATTAGTAATTTGAATTAAATACTTTTGAAATGAAACCCTATATCATTTTCACAGAATGCGCAAGATGGTTTGCATCATGGTTATGAAGGAAAAGCTGACAGTATTTTTGAGACAGCAAGAAAAACATCATTGCACACCATCAACTAATGACTCCAAAGGTTGGGGACCACATGCCATGCACATGCAACCATTTGAGATTTTACATGAAATTACTGCATTACATAAACTTGAGCTTCCATGTCAAGTAATTTATAAATTCAAAAAAACCCTTTAATACCTTTAAATCAATGTAGAACAATGAGTTTTAATGTGGTAAATGATAATTATATGTAACTATTATTTTAAGAATAACAAAGATTAGAGTTCAAAGAATGGATTCAATGCTGGTACTTGGATAAAGATAATCAGGCATGGACTCTCATCTCCCATGGATCTCCAGCACCTTTAGGTTACAGTTTTGTATTTCACTAGAAGAGACTCATAAATAAACAAAAGACAGTCAGTTACTACAAAAGAGAAGCATCGGAGATTAGTGATATTTTGTTCAGCATTATTGCATCTTACAAAGATGTAAACTATTAAAATTTTGTTTACATCTATCAATTAATGATTTTGATACATGTACCAGTAATTAATAATTTTGATGTGGGGTAAACTGATAAAATTGAATGGAAAACAAGCAGATGACTTGGTAATGATGTGTAAAAGACATCATTCATTTAATTAATACATGTAATTGCATGCAGTTAAAATTCAGTCAAAATTCTTGTGGTGTATATTGAAAGGTGTAACCAAGAGGGAAACATAAAATGATTTTTATATATTTTATATTTATATGAAAATATCTCTTGAAAACATTCAGCGTATAAAAATTATGAATGACATAAATCCTGTTTTAAAAAGGCATTATATGACTGCGTTGGTTATGAGTTAGGAGACGAACACTTGATTTGAAGGGGGGGGGGGATTTTTCCGAGTCACATTATTTATTTCCAAGATAATCCAGGAGAGAGATTATTTATTTTCTTCTTCACCGAATAAAGTATGACTAGCCAAAACAAAAAGGGAAAACGCCGAAACTCAATTTCGTGGAAGGAGGGGGTAGCACTTATTAAGGAAAGATTATTTATTTTCCTGCCATTTGAAGACAGATTATTTATTTTCAACATTTTTAAGATTGGAACATTAATTTCCAAAATTTGTGCTTCGACCAATTCAATAGAAATTTTGATATCTGAATCTTATATTTTAACCATTTTGAAACCCCTTGAGGATTAGGCTTCAATGTCATGAATTTGTACAGAACTGATTTCCTTCACCATGTGGTCTTGTATATTTCACATATGAAAATTACTCTTTTGCATGCAGGAAATAAACAAAGAGGATAACATTTGTATCCAAAACACTTGATTTTACTTGATATCCAGGATATATGATGACAATGTAAACAACTTTCAGTCAGTTATGTCCAATGGGTTTTTTTATCTCTCATACTAAAGAGCTCACAATTATCAAAGGGAGACAATTCAAAATTTAAATGAATGTCAATTATTTAAATAATAGATTTCTTTATTTATAGATAGAATACCAATAATGTTTGGAATGTCTTATTTCCTATTTCTGTGAGTAACATGGATTGAAGTAGCCGTATTCCATTAAATAACATTCCCCAAAATTAATTGCATTTTTTTTTTCAGAAAAATTCAACTTCAGACACCGTTTCCATGATAACTACTCAACATTCATTTGATCTTACGATATTTTTTTATTAGGTTATGTGGTGGTAATTTCCAGCCAAATTTGAAAAAAAAAAAGATCTGTGACTATGCATGCCACAAAAGTTTAAGTGGTTAAAGAGGATGGCTATTAAAATTGCATCTATTTGAATAGGTGATATCACATATTCAAATAATCAAATGTGTGGTATCACCGATTCGAAAAGATGATACGAGGGGTGATCAAAAAGTTCGCGAACTATCTCTATAATTACAAAACCACAATTCAGACCGCAATGAAATTTGGAATACATATCGTCATTCACATGTTCTATAAAAAGCATATCAATGTTTTGCTCAATATTTGTGACGTCACAATGTGAAAATGACGTCAATATGAAAAAAAAATGGTTGACTCAGTCGTACTCGAGCGAATGACGGCTATAAAGTTTAACGTATATCTTGAAAATTCCTTTGCAGTAGCATATGATAATTTCTACAAGGTATATGAAGACAAAAATCTTGCCAGATGTTAATCATTGATTGGATCGATTGTTTTAGTGAAGGAAGGGAGATGTTAAAATGATGTTTGTTCTGTTGTCCAGTGAAAACAAGCTGGTGAAGAGATGTGTTCTTAGTTGAGCAATTTGTTATGAAAGTTCGCCAAATTACAGTTAGAAAAATAGTCCAATATCTTAGCAAATATATAATTATTAAACCCCTAAAATGTCGTTTACTTTCGACTTTAAACAAATCAGATATATAAAAAAAAAGAAGGCGTCCATACATTATCCACATTGGATAAAGGGCACTCTTAAAACTGATGATTCGGGTTGTGGTGGTCACCATGCTCATTCTCTGAAAGGATATCTTATCAACCCATCCTATTGCCGAGATTGAGCAATTTTTGACAAATAGACTGTTCTTGTTATTAAAAAAAAATAACTTGCATGGTAAAAAATAGAAGGCTTTAAAAAGTCTTTCCCCTTGTATGAACAGAACGCTACGGAGCATGTCACGTGACCGCTTTGATCACGTGATTTGCGCAAGGGCAGAACGGTTTCAGATTTGCATTAACATTGAAGATGACTACTTTAAAAAATAATGAACACTGAAACCTAATTTTATTTCTTTTATGGAAGTAATTCAATTAGTTCGAGAACATTTTGATCACCTCTCGTATCACCCATTAAAAAGATGTTATTACCTTTTATTTTAAATCGTAATAACACTTAATATCACTTACTCAAATTATTTATGAAAGAACAATTGCTCGTAAGACTATACATGTACAGAGTTCATTAACTCTATACAGGAAGTAAAAGGTTCAGTCTCTTCGTACATAATTAGAACAGAGAGAAAGTATCTAGGAATACAGCAAAAATGACTTCAAGCTAAGTAAAGTTCAAATAACTTCACAGGGAGCGATAACTTATAGTATTGTAGAATGTCTCGGACTAAAACACAAGGGAAAAGGCAGCCCAATTTACTTCGGATTAACGGAAATCTAGTTTTCATAAGTAACTCGGGTTTTACAATGGCTTTTTTTTTTTGGTGTACTTATACATTGCAACTTTCAGACAATGCCCCCCCCCCCCCACTCTATGTGCAAGAAAAAAAATTCAGCAAAACTGCAAATTATTTAATCAATGAAATGCCGAAAATATAGAAGTTCTGAATCAAATTAAGTACAAAAAGTCCATTAAAACTTCATAGAAATATCAGAAAGTTTGTTCAGAGTAATTTAATCAATTTTATCAAATTTGAATGAATGCTAAGAAATTAAGATTGCTCTCTCAAAGCCTTTTAAAATCCATTCCTTTACTTTGCATTGAAGCTAGATTGTCTCGAGGAATGAGCATTCATTATTCAATTTTGAAAAAAAAAAGCAATTAGGTGATATGATCAATTCAAATTGGAAGTGGAATATCACCTATTAAACTCGAATTGGTGATTTATTGATTGTTTGTATGTTGTTTTACGTCCTATTCGAGAATTTTTCACTCATACACAGACATCACCATATAACTGTTAAGGGCTTCAAATTTAGAACTAATCTAGGCACTCAGGGCCATTGAGCAGTGAGGGTTCTTTAACGTACCAAAGCCTACCGTGAAACGGGGCGTCGGTTTTTAAAGTCTCATCCAAAAGACCCACAACTTTCATTTCAAAGTGCCGAGCGCTTGGCTAAGGAACATTTGCTACTTTTTTTTTTTTTTTTTTTTTTGACTAAGGTCAGTCACAGATTCGAACACACGATCTTCCGATCACGGATTGAGCGCTCTACCGACTGAGCTACCGTGACTGTCGCTCGAATCGGTGATATCAAATTGGATATACCGAATAAAGGATATCACTTTTTCGAAAAGGGAAAAACCCGTTTTTCCCATTGCAGTACCAAACATATGATAATTTAATTATTGATTGTTCATGGAAAACAATTTCAACGTATACATTCAAACACTAGCATAAACGTTGCCCCCAACCTCGCACACACACAGGAACACCAGTTAGCCAGTTTGAAAAGTAAGCATTTAACTATAGTTAGGTTATTAATGTTTATTTAATAAGATCATATATGCTAAGTCCTTAAAAAACATTTCAGAGTACATGTATATCATTTCATTTTAAAGAAACATGTCCACCCTGGTATATCCATCCGGCATTATTTGAAAAATAAAAAAAATAATAATAACAAAAAATACAGAATTTCCTGTTAATCTTCAGCACTTATGCATCATTTACAGAGTACATTAAATAAAGTTTCCAATAATTTAAAATATCTAGAAAGTATTAAGCACAAATGGAATATTAAACTAAAACATCTATTTACAAGTATTTTCATTTCATTTAATTACATCCATAAAATCTTAGACTAATCAGAATACAAAGATATATATATATATATATATATATATATATATATATAAATATATATATATATATATATATATATATATATATATATATATATATATATATATATATATATATATATATATATATATATATATATATATATATATATATATATATATATATATACTTTTATTAACTTAATATGTTTTAAAGGTCAAATATGATACTAAATTTAAAATATAAAATAACTCATGATTATCAGCCTTTGGAGCAATACGGATGATATTCTATGGTCTGTTTATTTTTTTTTGTCACCAATTTCATCACTAATCGTCGTTTAAATTTGACTGTGACAAGTGGAGCGTTTATTGTAAATCGCTTCTCTCCCTTGTTGCGTGACGGCATAAGAGACAAAGAGAAATAAGAAAATACAAACCATATGGAACATTATCGTTGACGAGATTGCAATATGCGCGTTTTTAACTGATCCAATTATTTCCTAAGTACCCAAAACTGAGGAAAATACATTACAATTGAAAAGAGATGGTTTTGAACCTAATCAATATGCTAAGCTTTCTG